CCTTTAACCGTTAAAAAGGGGTGGGGGGCCCCGGGGCCTGCCCCAAAAGGGAAAAACCCGGGGGGGTTTTTGGGGGGCCTCCTTTTGGCCTTCTGCGGGGGGGGGGATTTGGAAATGGGGGATGGGAAAAATAGGGTTTCCAACCAATGGGGCCCCCTTATCCAACCAAAACAAACCCCCCTTCCCCCCAACGAAAAAAGGGCCCGGGGTTCCGCCCCCCCGTGGCCCCCCCCCCCCCCCCCCCGGAGCAAAAGTTCACGTGTCACGCAGCTTGTTCTCCTCGTTGCTCTCAAACGCGCACAGCAGCGGGTTCCGGGTTGCGGCTTAGCTCATCTGGAGCAACGGCGCTACCCCAGAGAACATTGCTACGGTGAAGCTCCGCCGCGATGCGTTCTACGTGCTACTGCCGTGAGGTCGGTTGTGGCATAGACAGAGGGCGATATACTCCTAATAGGTTACGAGGACTGGTTTTGTTGGGTTACTTGTCGTGCTGATGGACGACGGAAGAATCTACGGGACGAAAAAAAGATAACGTCGGCAGAGATCACAACAAAATCAAGTTGTGCAGACGCTGGACCGGCGCTCTTCGATTGACACCACCGCGCGGCTTGTAAGCATGAGTAGACGATGTATTAATAGATGGGGCTGCTGCAAATCAAGGACTGCCCCACCCCGATAACATAGACAACATGGTTAGCGGTGGCTGCTGGTACACAGCTTTCCCTCTGACGCAAACAGTGACCACCGGGTTGTATCGCCATCTGATACGTAAGCCTGGCACGGATGCTGCAGAAAACGCGGTGGAAAAATAATGGGGCGGTTGGGGGACACGGACTGCTGTGCAATCCTCTTGCGAAGTATTTGAAGCTGGGGTCAACAACACGCGGCAAAACATCCTTCTTTGGTAGTACTACTGCTGTACTGCATAGCATTACGCTGATGACGCAAAAAACAATTAACACACCCTCTCAGGAGGTGACACACCCTCTCAGGAGGTGCATCTATTGTAACTCCGCGTTCATGCACCGGCTTTCTTTGTTTCGGCTTTTGACGGAGTGTGAGGTGTGCAAAAGACGCTCTCCTTCGGGTTAGTCTATATAATAGCCGAAAGAAGAAGCTGTTTGTTTTGGAAAAACTCAAGCCTTCCAGGCGAGGCGAGGCGAAGCGTTTCGGAATTTTCGCCATTTCTTGCTCTCCGCAACGTTGGCTTGCAGGCAGGGCCCTTACAGGGACCAGCCATCAAACCGCACATCTCGTTGTGAAACCCAAACGCACAGCAAGATGCGGACTTTGGTTGCATGCTACCATGTAACCATGGGCACGAGTTTCTTCCAAAGGGCGGAACGAACGGGCTATCTCACTGCCGCATGCGTGGGTTTGCCGACTGCTCTCTTGTTCTGCGATGCGCATTCGAGGCCTAGGTCTACTTGGAGCAGGTAGACCCACCAAGCACGCACCTCTCGGTAGCGTGCACGCGCTCACAAAGGCGTACGGCGGCGCTTGTTCCCTCCGAGGGCAGGCCCGCTACGCAGCAGTGGTGTCCAGCTAGCCTGCTCTCCGGCTGCCTGGACTATTTGTCAACGGCCTTATTTTCCTCGCAACAAGAAAGAGTTAAAAAAAACGCTGCTGGCCGCAAGAGGGCCGCCAAAACCAGCTGATCTGCGAGGGACTTCTTGCCTTGTTGAACCTCCTTTGCCTTTCCCAGCTACCCGGTGGGTGTAGAAGAGAGGAGCGCTGAACGGTCACGCACGTGGACGTTGACGCTGTGAACGTTGCAGCTCCGTGAAATCATACCGGTGGGGGGTACTGGATGTGTGGGCAGGCAACCCTTGGTTCTCCGTGTGGTTCCAAATTAGAACTTCTGGTTACACATGTTCATATGTTCATCGTTCATCGCGTGAAATCGCATGCCCGCGTTCGTCTGTCTCTTACACCCGCCCGACAAACCACACGACAACACCTCTAGCCGCCCCCGGCTACACGATGTTGAGCTCCTATTTGTTCAGCACCGTTGCCGTGTTGCGGCCATCCCCGCGGATGCGCGTAGTTTATGTATCCATCGTGGCATCACTCCTGCTCAGCTTTCTGAGTATCCAAGCTGTTGATGCTGCTAGTGGGGAGGCAGGGCTACGTGTAGGACTTCAAGGCACATGGCGAAGCTTCGGGGACTCTCTACGCTCTGCCAGGCCGCATTTGATCGCTGCCGCAGTAGCGAGATGTGCGAGCATTACTGCTGGGTGAGCGTGTTTGCATTGCGGCTGTATCATGTTTTTGCGACTAGAGCGCGCACGCACTACATGGTATATCCGTAGCTCCACGAGTTGCAATTTCTGTTTTTATAACTTCAAGCAGGATAATGCAGAAACGCTGATTGCTGGTCCGTCGTCACGAATCGAAGATACGATCATGACCTCCACAGGGCACAGCAATTGCAGAGATCTTTTTCAGATATCGTGAAATAATTGGTCACGTGTACATATACTACGCGGCAACTCCTGTTGAAATAACTAGAAAAAAACTGCACACCTCTCGCAATCACGACCACCTATTCCGTCTCCTTGATTGCCTCCCTATTTGCCCCAGCTACCCACTAGACACGATAAAAACGCGATTGCACCTGGGCAGAGCAGCTGCGGCGACGTCGATTCCCGACATGTACAGAGGACTGGGTAGCTCTCTCGCTGGACAGGTGCCATACGGAATGCTGACCTTCGGAACGTACGAGTTGTACAAGACGGCTTTGCTGGAGAGATTCCCGGTACGGCAGCGCAGGTCTCGCATATTACCGTAGCCGATGTCTCCAATTCTACATGTGCTCCACGCGGGAGACCTTGGTTTCAAACGCGTGTACCATGACCATGAAAAAAAGCAAGAGGGAACGTTGAAAGGCCCGCCCACTGCTGTGTACCAGAAACTGTCGGTTTCTCCGTCCTTGCCCTCCGAACACGTCGTACTCATGGTGGACGTGCTCTGCTATGAGATACCACGACGCACTGCTTCGCCGTTGCAGTATAAGCTCGTAGTACTGGTAGCATCGCATGCCACGAATAGTGAACGCCGCCTTGCGGTGCCCCCGCTCACCTTGCGCACTCTTTGCCACCGCAAAACCGTGGACGATGATGGCCTCCTCAGCAACTTCCGCGGGCCATCACGTTTTGCTTGGCCGCGGTTCTTGGGGACATGACGGGTAGCCTTTGGCTCGTGCCTTCCGAAGTGGTCAAGGTGCAAATGCAGGTAAGCGGCGATTGCCCCCACCAGTCAGCTGCATCCTCTCTGGTAAACACAAATATGCTGCTGTGTAACGGTCCACGCCAAACGCTTCGGCAGGCGACAGACACTCGCTCACACTGCCTTTTCCTACGAAGTGAACAGGAGCAGTCTCTACCACCCTACCATTGGCAAATTTACTCGTAGTATCTGAGGCCCGGTTGAACTATGTTGTCGTTTGTTGCAGGCTGGTTGCGCGTCGAATGTCACCGTTTGTGGAACGGAACTACTACTGTAGGACACAAAGTTAATGCGGCAGTTTTCAAAGTCGTACATTGTTGGTCAACAGCAAGTTTCGGTTCACTTGCAGAGAGACATGCGACGTGACCGCGACGATGACGTATGGATTGCCTCGTCGAGGTCAGTCCTGAACAAACGAAGACCTGTGTAGGTGTGCTTTCCATCGGTTTTACATCTCTGGGTTTACGACACTGACAAGGGGTTCCTCAGACAACAAACAAACCTCCCCGCGATCGGCAGGCGGGTTCCACCTTCGCTGCGATTAACGCGGATTCCACAAGTTCCCGCGCTAGCTACATAGTGGCACCACGGCGCAGAGCTGAGCCCGCCAACGGTGTGGCCAAGAAACCCCTTGGTCTCTTATTCGTTCGTTTTGACCTCCTTTTTTCACACACCCCGGATGTCCGACTGCATGTGCGTAGGGAGGCCTTCACGCTACCGTCGGCCAAGCAGCGATGTCTATCTTTAGGAAGTCCGGCGTTGGCGGCTTCTACCAAGGCTTCAGCGGGCAGGTGAAAAATGCGAACAAACGCGCCTTGTGCCAAAGCATGCGAATTGACGAAATATGCACGACCCATGCCCCGCCGTGTGCATGGTGCCAGAATTTTTCATTCTAGCTGCATGTCGCGGTGTTTTACAATGTGTTGAGAATATTTGCGGTCTAAGCGCGTAGGCCTAGCGCACGTGCCATTCCAACTCGATTTCGGGTACGTACTGTAGTGTCCGCGGCTGTTGATGCACGGTGACGAGCAGACAGGAGTTGTCGCCCACGTGAAGGAGATCGAGCGGCGACTTTTTGAGAGTCAGAAACACACACTAGGCGCTCCTTGCGCCCAGGTACCCTCCGTCCAGAGGTCTCCTACATAGGACTACAGTATTGGAGATTCCGTGAAAGCTAAGAAGTGCTTGACTACATGGTTCACCGTCTTGAATGGCCTTCTCCTCCACACCCCCTTTCCCTCTAACTCCGCTTCATAGCCGTAACCAGACCCTCTATCCCGATCCGTGTGCACACACACTCGTACGAATACCGCGGCCTTGTCGATGGTTGGTGAAACGGGTCGTACACGCACGCCACGTCCCGGGGGCTCTCCCGGTATCAGGTGGGGCGCGACGTTCCCTTCCGAGCCATCCAGCTCACCTCGTACGAGCTCCTACGGACGCTGCTCAAGACGTGGAGAAGACGGCAGCATACAGGAGTAGCGACCGAGCGCGGTGATGACAGCGGCGGTGTTCCCGTAGGGAGGGCTCGAGGCGGCGTGGCGACGGCAGCGGCGGGGGATGACGGCGAGCACGCGGCGCTTTCTTCGGGAGATGCCGCGCTGCTCGGCGGGCTGGCGGGAGCGATCAGCGCGACGTTCACCTGCCCGCTGGTGTGTTGTTCTTGTTCCCGCGAACGGTCTGATTGCGTCCCATCACACGCAGGAAGTAGTGCATACATTTCGCCGCTGTTGCTGCCACGCTATCGGCGGTCTTACAAATACCACGATCTGCTGGGTCTGCTTCGGGCAATGTGGCGACAATCCATCGTTGTTCACACACCTCCTTGATCCACAGATATTACAATTGCCTACGCAACGCTCATCTACTTTTTGCCTCTTGGCTTTTGGTCACTTTGGCCAGCAAGCCCACTCGCTGCATGGCTCATGGCATGGTTACACTGACCCATTGCAATCCACGTGTGGCCTGCGCGTACGCGTAGGACGTCGTCCGCACGCGCTTGATGGTCGGCGGCGGCGGCGGAGCGGCGGAGACTTGGGCCGCGGCCATTAAGGCCGGGGGGCTGCTCTCGGGGCTAGGAACCCGCGTCTTTTACATCGGCACGTCCAGTGCGGTCTTCTTTGTGGTATACGAGGCGATCAAGGTTCGCCTCGGGGTAGTGGCGGCGTCGTCGCCACCGGCTGCAACTAGTAAGGCGAAACGGCAGCAGTGAATTCGTTGCTCGATCGCTGATTGGTTGATCTTGCTTTGACGCGCGGAAGGTGGGACGTGTGCCGGCAAGCTGGCGTGCCATTGGAGGCAGGTATAGTGTTATCCAGCAAGGCTGCAGGACTTTGGGGCCGTTAAGGCACTCGGTGCTGATCGCAGTTGAGGCGTCCTGGGTGATACCCAAGCCAAATGTGCACGATGGAACCTGTTGTTGTCAATTTGTTATTGTATGCCTTGTTTATTTAGATAGTGAATTTTGTTGACTTTTGGGAACACGTTTGTTTTGTGTACATCCTCTTGATCTTGGCAAATCCTGACGAGCAGCGGTGGTATTGTATGTAGCGTCAGAGTGTTTGCCCGTGCGCGCAAACGCACGCAGATCTAAATCTCCCGCTGTCCTCACATCTCGCTGTCTGTGTTCCTTAGGCACAAGATATGTGCCCGACAGAAAGTGATGGTTGTGGCAGGCACATCCGTCTCATATCTGCCTTTCATATGCGTTGCTACATGTAGTCCCCCTCCATTGCACCATTCCCCGATGTGGTATGTCGCTCGGTGCTGTTTGTTCTGACCTTTGTTTTCTTCTCTCCTTTTTTCGCGTGTGTGAACGAACTCCGGCACAGTAGGGGCAGGAGGATACAATCGTGCGAGTTTATTGTCGTGAAATGCGATCTTTTTTTTTTTTTTGGCCTCGCGTGTCGGGTGGGTGGGAGCGATGGGCTCTCCTGTATATCTCCTTTGTCTGAAAAAGTTACCTACGACGTCTGGCTGCTGTCGGGGGCTGGCTGTAATGTCCTGGTTCAATAGCGTGTTTGTGTTGATTTTTCTGGACCATTGTATGTCTTTTCTCCTTCTTTTTCACGGTGTACCTTCCCTTGAGTATTTTGCGTGTGACCGCGAAAGGCGTCCGCGTTAGCTGGACCACCACAGGTGTTAGGTGGCGATATTAGGATAGATTTAGATATGAAGACAAAAATAACAACAACAGCAACAACATCATCATCATCAACAGCGTGCGATATCATCATTGTGTTGCTTAATTTTGCGACAAAGGGCGATCTGCGGCCCTCCACACGCAAATCGCATCCCCCCACACACATGAAGTGTAGATCGCACAGCATCAGCGTCACCTCCACAAGAGCACATGTGCGAATGTACCATGTGACAGAAATGGTGCTCAGGGCAAAGGTTATCGTAGGAACGGTGCCCAAGGCGCAGCGATACCCCAGGGCACGAAAGGCCACTCTTCCGCCAAACCAACAAAAGAAGCCAGCTGGACAAAAAACACACAAAAAAATAGCCCACGGAGATAAAAATTATGATAAAACTTCACCTACCTGTGGCACCGCTACGGACTGCACGGAACGCGAGGGACAAAGAAACCACGCCGCCGGAAAAAATGGTTCATGAAAAAAAAGGCCAAAATACACAACGAGAACGAACAAAAAAGAGGGCTAAGCAGCTACAACATAACAATTACCACCACCACCGCCGCCTCTCCTCTAGCGCCAAGTGGATACTTTTGCAGTGTGTGTAAACGGCGGTGGCGGTGCACGGCTGCTCACGCCGGCGTCGACAGCGGGTGATCTGCTCCCCTGCACCAACACACGCACACCTATCAGGTACTCCCTTTGGAAACTCAACCCCAGCGTGCGGTCCCGTCCCCCTGACGCCAACGTGAACAAAAAATCACATACATACGTCACCCGCGCATCGTAGACCACTACACTCGCACCGTTTTTTGTTGCCATAGAGGCAGACAGCAACCAGCACCAGACACACACCAGGCGGACACCTCTAAACATGCTGTGAAATCATTTTTCAACTGAAAGGGACACACGGGCCACGACTTGTGGGTGGGGGACGGGAACACAGCCGGGGGGGGGGTGATACGCAGCTAAGAGGTGGTGAGCGGGACGACAATTCGCGGCACGGAGCCATCCCATCGGATCGGGGGCAACAGGCGGAATCGTTCCATGAAAAATCATCACCAACATTCGACAAACAGCAAACAAAAATACGTTTAAATTACAAAAAAAAGGGAACCCTTTGGCAGCACCTCTCCCGTAAAGAAGTCAGGGCACAAGGGAGAGAATGCCTGGGCCAAACGACAAGCTCTACTTTCCAAAAACAAAAAAGCCAACATGAAAAACAAAATTCAATCCCAACACTGTCCAAATCAACCTCCTCCCTCTCGACCAATCCCACAGCCGTCCTCACACAAACCGGACACGGTTCTAATCACCGTCTTCCACCGCCTTGCTCCTAGCACCTGTCTGTCTGTACAGAAAGAAATACACCCGCCGATCAACGCTGGCTGCTGCGCTTAAGACGTGTCAAGAAGTCCGGGATATCGGAAGGGTTATTGGCTCCTCCGGGCAGGGGAGGGGTCGTCGGTGGAGGAGTCCGGCCGCCCTGCTTGGGAGGAGGTGGCTGGTAACCTGGCGGCGGCAGGCGGCGGGGCGCCTGATGTGACCGCACGAGGGGAAGGGCAGGGCGGGGCAGGGGGGGGGGGGCGGGGGGGGGGTACTGAGTTCTTGCCGGTCCACGTCTCTTTCCTGTTGTCTTCCACACATGGTGGTAGTGGTTTACATGCCTAGCCAATCTCAGCCGAACCAAAACAATATTTTTTGTGAACAGATTTTCACTTGGCGTTGCCATAGGGTACATCCGTGTATTGTTCTCCTCCTGCGGAAGTGTACCGCTACGCTTCTTCGTTTCGTTGACAGAGTCACGCACCCCAATATGCTCCGAGTTTCAGGTTCAGCACCACTTCCGCGCAATCACCAAGCCTCTTTCGTTACTTCGGTCCATAGCTCTAAGGGGGGAGGGAATTTTCGCAACTGGCAAGCGCAAGCAATCAGGAAGCCGCCGTTGCATCGAGAAGACGAGAGCAAGAACATCGACGCACAGGGTCAATCGGCAGCACCCGTGCATCCAGACTGAAGCCCGAACACGCCATGACAAAATACGTTAGCGGTCGGTCTTCAAAAATGCCCACATCTCGACAACAAAGAATTAATCATCGCAAACACAAAGAGCCTTTTGACAGGTATCTTTCTTTCTTTCTCTCTCTCTCTCTCTCTCTCTCTCTCTCTCTCTCTCTCTCTCTCTCTCTCTCTCCTCCCTACGACAACATGTTTCCAACGTCGCTCCTTTCGGTGTCAAACCTTCTACCTCTGCTCTGAACACCTCGATATTGGGACTCGAAATCCGCGGAGTCTGGCAACATAATACAACCATACCACAACCAATGGTACTCCGAGCCGCCAGTTCTTTAGGCGCTCGCGGAGGCTTCGACGCCGACAACCACGACCAAGAAACAACACGAGCATCCGTGGCTCCCGTAAAGACAACCGATGACGTCACGACGTGCTTTCGTCAAACAACAGAAGACCTCAACTGCTCTAGCAAAACAGCTTACGGGGGAGACGTGTCTATGTGTGTCGGGAGGAAACAAAAAAAGCGACAAGTTACTTGATCAAGCGACACATGGGGGCATCATCAAGCCGGGACAAGATTGGCATGTTCGTGAGAGCAACAAATAACACAAAGAAACACCTAGACAAACGACCGATCTATTGGACTCTTCCAGTCAGCCCCTCCTCCCCTTCTTGAGTCAAAATCTGATCGGCTATTACCTGCAGCGGCTGCTGATTTGCTGGTGCCTGCTGCTGCTGCTGCTGCTGCTGATGCCCGTAGCCGCCGCCGCCGCCGCCGCCCCCTCCCGCGTACGGATTGATCGATGGCCTCATCGTCCCCGGCGGTGCTGCCGCGGCTTGCCCCTGGTTTGCCACGCCGACTCCTCCTTGCATGGCTGCCATCTCCTCCTGGAACACGAGCACGGTCATCGTCGCGGAAGTTTGTCATTCGTTAACGCCCGAACGCCGGTCAGCATCATCGGTCGCAACAGGAGTGGTTCATGTAGACAGCAGCGGCGGCGGGGGCGGTGCGCTAGGACGTTAGCCAGACGCTTCTTCTCGCGAAAATCTGCGCCTGGCTTCAGAAGGCCTCGTGAGCGTAAGTTTGCGCCAAGACTATCTACCAGGAACAGCAACCACGTTTGCCGCCGCGTTTCCGGTTAGGGCGCGGGGGAGTCTTTTGGGCGAAACAGGGGCGAAGATTGCGAGAGAATCCCCTTTACACAACAGCGGAGGGGGGCACGTGCGCGCCAATCGCAAGTCGAAACAACAGCGTGGTGTGTCTTTTTTGCTCTTTTCCCTTCCCTCCTTCAGCACAACCATGCATTTAATCAGAGGCAGACCGCCCCACAGCTCGGGTCGTTGACAAGCAGATGGGAACATCAATCTCATGTTTGTAGAACCAGCAGCCGCGGAACGAGTTCTTTTTCGCGAAAAAGCTTGATTCTTCCCGGGTGGCACTTCTTCGCCTTCAACAACCTCGAACGATACAAGAAAGGTATGCTAAAAAAGGACAAGTCAACAATACAGGGCATTTTCCTCCGCGCCACCCCCCCCCTACGAGAAAGCAGGCGCAAAGGCGAAGAACTGCTCACCTTGGTCTGGAATCCCGTGGCGAGCACGGTGATGCTCATCCTTCCTTCCATCCGCTCGTCCACGAGAGCTCCGAAGATGATGTTCGCCGTCGGGTCCACCTCTCCGTAGATCACCTCCGCCGCGGCGTTGATCTGCCCCCCCCCAGCCAGGTAGTTAGGTAGGTAAGGTAGCGAACAAGAGGTGAAAAACGCAGTCCGCGGACACAACAAAAAATATCATTAAAATAGAACAACGAAACATGCCCAACGTCGTGCGAACCGGGGGTGGGTCTGGACAAGAGGGGCAACCAGAAGGGGGCCTGGTGGTGGTGTGTGTACATACATGAAAATAAAAACGGTAGGTGGCCCCGCTTATTATTTGTTCGCCGTGCGGTCTGGTGATCCCTCGTCCCACCAACTCCGGTCTTGCCCCCACCACCACCCCGTCATGACCACGACAACTACAAAACCGCCGCCGCGCGCCCTCTTCGCACCTCCTGCAAGGACATGTCGTTCCCCCCGATGATGTTGAACACGATCCCCTTGGCCTTGTCGATCGGCGAGTCGAGCAGCGGGGACGAGATGGCGGCGTTGGCGGCGTCCTCCGCCTTCGTCTTGCCCTCCCCGGAGCCGATGCCCATCAGCGCCGTTCCCGCGTTGCTCATCACCGAACTGCCGTGAAGCAGATGGATAAGCAAGGCACGGGTAGGTACAAGAGGCGGCGGCGGCGGCCGCGGTTCTCAAAAGACTGAATCCCGGCGAAACTGATGCCTGTTGGTTGGTCAGCGGATTGGCGCTGGTATAATGTCTACATATAGATCAAGCGGTGACAATCCACCCGGGGGGGAGGGGGGAGTACTTCAAGACAAACACAAGCTTTGAAGAGCTTGAGGAGGAACCTTTTGGCGACGGATGCAGGTGCGGGAGGTACCCCCTCCCCCGTCCTCATCTCCTTGGAAATCGCTCGTTAAGTGTGAGCGAAAAATCGACACCGACGCATCGCAGGAGCCGACACCCCACCCCACCCCGCCCTCACAAGCACTTCAACCACTCACCGTACGTCCGCGAAATCGACGTTGATGATCCCCGGCCTAACGATGATCTCGGAGATACCTACCACCCCCTGGATAATCGAAACATCGACCGCAAGCGAACGGAAGAATCAGCACGCCGTCAGGAGCACGGTGAAGGAGCGGTAGCGCGGGTAGCGTTAAAAAATTGGATGACACCGAAAATAAAACGGAGCGTGAAGTGAGTGCAAGGCACCACACACACAGACGGGCGGCAGCAGCACCAACGGCGGCGCCAACAGCACCAGCAGTCCACACGACAACAACAACAATACAACGAAGACAACGCTTAACACACAACATCTTCAACCCCACGGAGCACATACGTCCGCTACCACCTTCTCCTCTCCTGTGGTACAACTCATGGGTTCACAACATCGCCGGCTACCCCATGCAGACGACCGCCCCCCTCCACCACCACCATGTGATCCGTCCTCTCGAGGACGCATGGTCATTGGTCTAACGACTACCGCAAGCGTTTTACATGAATACACCCCCCCCCCCGCCGACACACGCAAGATCTGTTGTTGATGCGTTTCAATCAGCACTCGGCGCTTGGTTCATCACCTGGCGAAGGATGTCGTCGGCCACGCTAAACGCCCGCTCAAGGGGGATGCCAGAGCCGGCGACCTCCAGCAACCGGTCGTTCGCCACAACGATAAGCGTGTCCACCGCCCCGCGAAGCTCGTTGATGGCGGCGCTCGCCTGCAGCAGCGAACACACGACGCGCATACAACACCGTTCTCTCAAGAGTTACTCCAGAAGAAGAAAGCTGCTGCCAACACAAAATGCGGATTTAGGAAAACAATGTTTTTACCAGCATGACCAACAAAAGAAGATAGAGAGTAGGTCAGACGGGTGTCGTGAGCGCTAGCACTGCCGCCTTGCTAGGGAAGAGACACGCGTCGGCCTTCTTCTCAGGCAAGCTAAGCTCACGGCGGCCGCCCCGCGGTTGGGTTTTCAGAGCTGCTTGCAACAAGCGCGACGGGTGAAACCAGCACATCCACGGTATCACGCACGCGGGGTGGAACTCTGTCTCCCTTTGTACGCCCCCCTCCCTCCCACCTGAGACAGTCTGCGGCGCCCCTCGAACCCGAAGGGCTTGGTCACCACGCCCCCCGTCAAGGCTCCCATTTCTTTCGCCACGTGGGCAACGAGGGGAGGGGCCCCAGAACCCGTCCCGCCCCCCATGCCCGCGGGGACGAACACCATTTTTGTTCCGGGGCCCCCCTGGACGATCACGGTAGCCGTCAGGGCCAAAGGGGGAAGAAAAGGAAGGGGGGGGGGGGGGGGTTGCTCCAAGGAAACGGAACGCCACACCCGGGACGCAGGAACCGGACGGTAACCTACCGTTCGAACTTGCTCCTTAACCTCCCTCAGCTAGTTCTAGCGCCATGCCACATGCCACACAAGAGGTGAGCACGCTGCTCTCTCTGTCTCTCTTCGTTCTGTGGGTCGGGTCTTCCTCAGTAGCGGGTGCACATGCAGACACAACACCTGTGTGCTACGTGCCTTTCCCCCTAAGAGCTCCTTGTCCGCCCATCCTGTGAGCGGATCTTCCTCTTTCTTTTTCTCCCTGTGTCTTTCTCTCTCCCTCTCTCTCATACACACCCTCTGTGTGTACTCTCTCTCTCTCTCTCTCTCTCTCTCTCTCTCTCTCTCTCTCTCTCCCTCCCACTCGCTCAGTATCTCTGTTCTCGATCACGCTTGTTGCCGTGCACCTAACCCTCGCCCTACCCCAAAGCACCCACCTCCGCGATATCGGCTCGGCTCTCCTCCGCCGCTCGCTTCCCGATGTCCGGCACGCCCCCCGCACCAAGCCCCCTGGTGACGTCATTTCCGACCTGTAACGTCTTGATCGCCTCCGGGATGCTGTTGATCGCCTGCGTCAAGCCAAAGATGACACACAAAGCAGTGGAGTCAGAACGCGTAGCGAGGGAACAACGTAGTTCACGGGAGAGGCAGTAGTGCAGGGCAAGGGCGCGGGGAAGAGGAGGGAGGTGGGCCGGGGGGAGGGGGGAAGGTGGGGGAGCGGAAGTGAGCGGCAAATGTGTCCTCTAGAGCGGACTGGGCGCATCATGAACAAGTTACCTACACCTCTCAACATCGCCTAAAATTTACACTCAAACACGCACATGGCTAGCACCGCAAGCCCGGTCAAAACACCGAGATTGTTACAACGTACCTTTCCCATACCTGGTGGTGTTCGCACGCCACAACGGAAAGAAACGGACAATAAATCTTTTCAGCCATGTACCAGGCACGGCGGTAACAACCTCAACGCGATACGCCATGGCCAGCCCAGCCGAAATCACGGGACAGGGCAGGGCTACCCACCCACCTGGGCATCGGTGTTGAGGCACCAAAATTCCACCCCGGGTATGGTTTGCTGAGTCATGCGCACGACGGCATTACCGCCGCCGCCTCCCACGCCCACCACCTAACAACAAGTCCAGGAGGGGGTGGGGGGTGGAGGTTGCACGAATGAGGCAGGAGTAGGATGATGCTCCTCCCCATTGTCGAGATTGCTGTTGTTGTTGTTGTTGTTGTTGTTGTTGTCTGCGCGTCCAGAGTAGTAGCGTGCTGACTGTGCGTTGAGAGTCGTTACCTCTCGCTTCCCGTGCCGGATCAGCTTCAGAAAGGGAAAGGTCCCGTGATACATCACAGGTAGGCTTGGCTCGGCGTGACGCAAAGGGGAGAGTTTGTATGTATGTTCCTCGAAATATGCCTCAGAATCCGCACGGCTATCGCTCTTGTTTAGTGGTGCGCCGGGCGGCCTCTACACGCGGCATGTCCGTCAAAGGCTGCCTGTCCATGCACCTACCGCTCCAATCAAGTCCATGGCAAATACCTTACACAAGAGGTTTCTGCACCCCCCCGTTCGAACAAATGACCGACGAGGCTCGGCCTGACTTTTGTCACGTGGGGCGAACCTCGATAATTTCAGATTGTTGAGAGGGATTGACCGTACGTGACACAAGACACCACACCCCTTGAGTGATTCTCAAAGCTCGATTGCTCCACGGCCGAAAGAGCGGCGGCGTCGAAAACGGTGGCGTTAGAACCGTCTTGTGGCAAACCCAGCCTCTGCCATTCTTGCAA